TATTGAAGAAGCTACGTGGGAAATGAAAAGTCAAATGCGAGCCAAATATTCACACCTCTTCGAAAATTAAGGTACGTCAAGTTTTTGGACAAACTTCTATTTAGGAGGGGAGAAATGTGACACCTTGAACGTTTAATTAAATAGTACGTAAATATTTATAGTTATATATATAAGTGTGGGTGTATGTGATAATATATTATTAAAACAATAAATAAATAAATAAATACTAATAATAATAGTGGGTGTGATAGTAAAATAAATAATAAATTTTTTGTTGGTATATGATAAAGTGTAATTCAATTAGGAATTAATTTATTTATATAGTTATATTAGAAAATTAGGCAAAAGTGTAATTACTATAGGGCAAAAGTGTAATTACCATAAACATTCATTAAGATAAGTATAAATTCATAGTGATTTATGATCAAATCTGGAGAGGATTTGAGCGGTGCCACGTGTTGGCCTCAGGGTGCTTTTGCCTCTCTATAAATAGGGAGGAGTTGATCAAGATCTGTGGAAAGAAAAGGAAAAAAAGAAGGAGAGGCACGCAAGAAAAAGGCACGTAAGTTACTGGAAGTAGAAACTTATAATAAGAAGGTTGTGATAGTGGAGTAAGACTAAGGGTCAATATTAAGGTGAGTTATATTATATTTTGAGTCACCATAATATATTTTATGTATATTTTGACTTTCCATCATTTATTTTATACAAGTATATTTTATAAGTTATATTAATACAACTTATACTTTATTAGTTATATATTAATATTTCAATTACATGGATTAATTTCGGAACTCTATTTGTTTAAAATGAAATCCATGAATATGTTTGTTTAAATTTTAAAGAATATTTGAATATAACCTTATAAACAATTATGTTTTGTAATTACCACCACGAGAGTCCCACGCCTTGGAGGACTTAAATAACCATTGGTCTCTGTTTGGCCACTTCATGGTCTTCTGTTTGTCATAGATCCATTGACCTCTGTTCTGACTGTTTCTTCTGTGACCTCTGTTTTATTTTGGTTTGTACCGTGGTTATGATTATTTATATTTCAGTTTCTGCCAATTAAATAATTTATTTACCAAATTAAGTTATGCAAATATTTTGGTTTAACTAACTATCCATGGTTATTTTGTATTCCCTATACTCTTGGTATAATATTTCTTACTCTGTTGTGTGTTTATAGCTGTTACCTTTTCAGGTGATGAGATGTAAGGAAGACCCATAACCTCGTGTAGTAGAACCTATGCAAGAAATTGATGCGGATCCGTTAATTTGTTTTTCTTTTCTTCCTATCATTTTTTTCTGATGGTCGGTCGCTGCATAATAAAATAATAAAAGCCTATGGATGTACTTTTTTAAAAATAGTAGAATGAAGTAACTTTCTATTTAATTATTTTTATTTATGTTTGCCTCCGCCTGCGCAATTTAATTTGCTACGATTAGAATAAGTTAGTAAAGTTAGTAAGTTGCGATTCTAACCCTAAGCCCTGAGGTTTGGTTGTGACATTCACATTTACACTTAATTTTTTTTTTAAGCTTTATCTTATATGTACAGGATCTACTCTTACTCTTAATTTTCAATTAATTTTATTATTTTTTTAAGATTTATCTGATTTTCACTTTCTATATTCTTATACTTTATCTTCAAATTCAAACTTAATTTATTTTTATTTTTATTATATATTTATAAAATTTCATTCTGACTTTTTTTTTTTTTAAGTTGAGATCAATCAAATCTATTATTTAAGTACCTATCTAAATTAATATCATAGAATTTTGTTATTAATTTTTAACTTATTTAGTACTATTTACTATATTTTGTTATTTGTCCGTGCATAGCTCACGGATTACCATTAATATATATATATATATTTGTGGGTGTGTATGTGTGTATGAGAGGGTTGGAAAGCTAGGTAGGTGTCAAACATTGCGACCTCTACTACTATTTAAAAGCCTCGGTCCATCCCATGGGCCATCATAACATGGCTTGAATACTAACTAGGTTAGATAGGTGGTCCTCGGAGCGTCGAGGCATATATAGACTGTCTCACACAGTCATCTTTTTTCAAAAAACACAAAACAAAATAATAACAAAAGAAAAATCAAAGTGATCTGGGGACCACAGCAAACATTTTTATTTCCCTCATTTTTACTTTTAGAATTTTTATTACACATCTTAATTACCTTTTTCATAGATATTTTTTGTTTTAAACAAATCTGAAAAAATAAAAACAAAAACATCAGTTAATTCATTGTTGAAAGATGACAATAACCTTTTTATTTTTTTTTAATTTTAAAAAAGACAATAAAAAATAAATATATATTCAATTGTATTGAAAACAATTCATCCATTTTCAAGATTATTATCATGTCCTCTCATATAATCCCTTCCGTCCAAAGACGGAACTACACATAGGATGGGGGGATGCCATATGATAATTTTATAGATACATAAATGTCTTATACAAAAATCTTTTATTTTATTTTATTTTTGTACTAGCACCACTTCGCTCAACTAAAGGCCTATTTTGGCAATTAAAAAAAAATTAATTTATTTTGAAAAATTATAATTTTATGATTCATCTTGTCAAGCTGAATTTGAAAACTTAAAATTTTTTGAATAATTTTAAAAAGATTCACTAAAAATGAAAATAAAGCCCAAAAAAAAAAAGTCAAAAATTTATTCCCAAAACACCCCTAACTGTGATCATATGATTGATTATTGTGATTGAAGAAGAAGAAAAGACATGTTCAAATAATTTTGGTCATTTGACTTTCTTGAGATAAGTAAGTTGTATGATTTGTCAATTTCTTTAGGACCAATAAGGTGGAAATGAAGTAAAATATATGCAGGTTGGGGTTGCTTATTCCTTCCCACTATTTGATCTCCTTAGATGCAATACTAGAGGAAATTTTTGTTAATTGCCCTGACTTTTTGATAATTTGTTTGTTATATGAAAACAAACAAGTTATCCAACATTTGTTTACCAATTGAACACATGTTGGGTCATTGACGGAATATTATAATATCTATGCATTTTTTTTTTTTCAATTTAATTTTTTTTTTTTGAAAGAATTAAGTCAAAATCGATATGACATAATTAACGTTTTTTAACTAACTTGTTTTATAATTAGATTATTTGCTTAAATTTTGTTGAAATTGACTTGTAGTTTTTTATTATTTGCAAAATTTGATCTTTTAAAATAAATTTTCTGAAATTGAGAACTGTTATTGGAGAACTATTTGATCAAATTGTGCGGCATTTTATTATTATTATTTTTTTCCAAACGAACTTGATTAGAAATTGTTGTGTAAATTTTGGTATGATAAAATTAATATCAAAACTGACTCGTGTTCACGCCAATTGATAGGAGTGGAATGGAGGAACGCGAGAGGGGACACCAACACCGCCCAAATAAAATCATGATTTTCGCCTCCTGCCGCTTCCCATTATTTCCCTTCCAATAGCTCCTTCTGGTCATACTATTCCCTCCCTGTCTAACAGCCTCTTCTCCCGACTCGACCTCTTTCTCAGGCCCATCTCCCCTCTTATGATAAATCATTAAACACTATTTGATAACTAGATGTATAGATCAGTTTATGCGCATCTCAATTTATCTCGGGTACTAAAATTAACGATCAGGCAAATTTTGAGTGGTCCCAAGGTTTAACATATTTGGCCTTTGTGACATTCGAACTTGTGACTTCTTGAGTGGTAAGCATTTTGGTTGTGTTCTTCTCCCATTAAACCAAATCCCTTGGGGTTATAATTTATTTATTTATTTTGAAAGCTTGTTGGTATAATGTGTTGATTTTTTTGTACAATGTTATCTGATGGGTCGTAATAGAGTATTCATTGGAACATCGCATTTGTGGGTATTGTGGACAATTTGAATTGCATCATGCAGCAAGTCAATGAACAATGTTATGAATTCTAAATAAATTATCACATATTTTACACAATATATATTTGATTGTCAGATTCACACTACATGAGTTCTACATGAATTACACGCCTATATTAGTATTATATAGAATATTAGGTAATTTATTTGAAACATTTTTGGTAAGTCAATATTCCCCCCGATTTTTTGTTTTTGTTTTTGTTTTTTTGGTCCCAATAAATTGGAAATTATTATATAGTTTGAGAGTATCATGTGAGTTGTTTACGTGGTACTCCCAAGAAATGAAAAATTGCAAGTTATACCAAATGTGTCATTTTTAGTCTCCTAACTATCTAATAAAAGTCACCCTTATATTCCACTCATAAATTTTTCACTTCAAGCATAAATAACATTACATATACTCTAGAATACTGGATAATTAATCCCATATTCTTGGTACTGGCTTATTTATACAAGTGGGCAGTTTGCTAAATTAATCAAACTTGTGATTAAAAAATTAAGTGGTACATATAATTAAAAAGAAGGTAGACGAAGATGATAGTCGCTCTAAATATAAATATACCTAGTTGCCGAAATATAAAATGGGAATTTGAAGCTCGTGCTCTCAAAAAACAGCTGGCGATTTGGGCCTTATCACAAAGAAAAATATGTATACCACCCAGTATGATGACAGGGACAAAGCTCACATGAGAGCCCAACCAGGTTATTCATGGGTCCCCCCTCCAGCTCAAGTAAAATATTAACTATAGCAGTATGAAAGCTTGAATAATTATAACAACATAAGTATTCTAGAAAATGAAATTGAAAACCATATTAGTTTCATATAGAGATGTCATGTCACATTATCTTTTGTCATATATATGTGTTTTATTATGTGGAACTTATTAGTATTTCCAGCATTATTGTGAAATTTTAAGACTACATAAATAGGATATTAGGAGACAAGTTTGTCCAATTAATTTAATTTACTAACTTTTATTAATCAAAAATAAAAAAATAAAATGGGTTGAATACTGCACTCAATATATATTCCTTTCTCCCTCCCTTACGTTAAAAGTCCTGTTTCTCTCTCTCCTAATAAGGAAGAATTTATTCAAGGAAAATTGCCCAACTTGAGAAGCTTCCACGGAGGCACCCCTAACCCTGATAAAAGAAAAACAAAAAGGAAAACAAAGGAAAATTAGACACCTCTATAATATCTCCCTCTTTCTTTCTGCCTTCCTTCCTTTGTATCTCTCTCTATTCAAAGGTCAACAGCAAGTAGAAGTAGAGGAAGAAGTGAACACTCATTTGATTGATTCATGAGGTGGTGCTAGTGGTGGTGATTGTGGTCTGTGTTTGTGTTTTCAGGATCTTCTTGGTCAAACCAACAAAGCAAGTATCCACCGTCATTGTTACGAGAGCTCTCCCTTGTGATTTATTCTTCAGCCTCTCTCTGTCTCAGATGACTTCGGAGAAACAAAACTCTCTCTCTCTCTCTCTCTCTCTCTCTATCTATCTCTAACCCTACACAAATTATTCTAGTGATATGAGATATGATATGTTAGCTTCAATCAAAATCCAGGTGATCAGAAACCCCTCAACCCCATTCACTTTTATTTTTCAGTTTCACATATATTTCTCAATCATCTTGTTGATGGTCTAGGAAGATCAGTAGATCCATTAAGAAGAGTTGAATTTGGAAGGTAACAAGCAAGAATAGATCATGAATTTCATGGCAAAAGGTAGCAGTCAAGGGTTTTATGGGGAAGACCAGAACCAGAACCAGATCATGATTAGCAATAGTACTAGAGGTAACCTCCCTTTTTATTCTTCCTCCTCCACTACATCATCATCCTCTTCTTCATCTCAGCCCCACAAGAACCTTGTTCCTCTTACCTTCCACCAACAACAAAACCAGCACCACCAGCACCAACACCAACCCCAACGGGGCAGCTGGTTGGAGCCTCAACAGCCATCGGCAGAAGAGATGACTAGTATGAGATGCTACACCGGAGGAGCTGGAATGGGTATGGAGCACATGGACGCATCTCCTGCTGCAACTGGAAATAATGGCGACCACCACCACCGCGACAATGATGTCAATGGCCTACTAGAGCTAGGAGGAGGAGGAGGAGGAGGCACTAGTACTTGTGTCGGCGTTGTTATGGAGAAAGAACATATGTTTGACAAAGTGGTTACGCCCAGCGATGTCGGCAAGCTCAACCGACTTGTCATTCCCAAACAGCACGCCGAGAAGTACTTTCCCCTTGATTCTTCCACAAACGAGAAGGGACTCCTCTTGAATTTCGAGGATCGAAACGGGAAGCCGTGGCGATTCCGATACTCCTACTGGAATAGCAGTCAGAGCTATGTCATGACCAAAGGCTGGAGCCGCTTCGTCAAAGAGAAGAAGCTTGACGCGGGAGACATCGTCTCCTTCCAACGCGGTGTCGGTGAGTTGGGGAAAGATCGCCTCTTCATCGATTGGAGGCGCCGTCCCGATGTATCAGTGCTTCCCCCATCTCTTCCCTCTCTCCCGCTTTCTCAGCAGTATTTCTCTTTCCACCGCTCCACTGCCGCAGCCAACCACCCTTGGAGTCCTCTCTTATTGCAACAGACTCAGGCGGCACCTACTTCGCGGCGGGACCACTCCCTCTTCCAGCACATTAACGCAACCAATTATCAACAACCCCACTCCACTAACTATGGCTACAGCTACAGCGGCAGTGGCGGTGGTGGTGGTCCTTACAGTTACAATTACAACAGCGTGGTGAACCCTTGTTCCAGCTCCGTAATTTACCTCCGATCCGCGGCAGGAGCTGCTTCTGCCCCACAACAGGCTGGAATGGTGCAATTGCAAAGTGGTTTTGGTGGTGGTGGTGGTGGTAACAGTGAGAGTGAAGTTGAGCCTATGGTATTCGAGTCGGTACCGGTGGTCCATGGACAAGCTGCAGCAAAGCGACTGAGGCTGTTTGGCGTGAACATGGATTGCCCCATGTCGGAATCGGATCAGGAATGTGACATATTGTCATCAACCACCGTACCCCATCCCCATGCTACAATGGCATCTCATCTTTCTTCATCTCCCATCCAACATCCCCTCCAATTAAGGCTATACAGTGGCAGCCCATTGCCACCACTGCACACTACAGATTCCGACTCCTCCGACTTGCTCGACAAAGGCAAGTCATCAGATATGTCCTTTGATTTCGATTTTTGAATCTCTCCGCATGTAGGAGAGACGCACAAGACCACACAAGAGGGGGCGCCAATCAGCTCATTCATGACTCATCAACAACCCAAAAAAAGAAGAAAAGAAAAAAAAGTGAACATCGTGGAAAACACACATTGGTATGTTTGAGATTTCACCATAAATTTTAATTAAAGCTCAAGACGCATATGAGGGAGAGGATTTAGACAAAGAGAAGATGGTTCGTTTCCGCCGACTACGCCTCTATTTAGCTTTCATTTTCTGTACAATAATACATAGAAATAGATACATCTTCTATATATATAATATAGATACGCAGAGATCCATGGTGCCATTAATATTCTCCAAATATGTATCCAATATACATAATCCATGCCATGGTTTCCACCAAGTTACTTCACTGAATCTTGATATTCTTCTTTGATTTTACCAACTCTCTCTCTCTCTCTCTCTCTCTCTCTCTGGTGTTCTTTTGTGGCAAACAAACTTTCCTAACTTCTTTCAGGGTACAATATTATGGCATCTAGCTAAGCTATCGGATAGAAATGAACAAGTTATTTTTATCTCTGGTGTTTTTATTACCTTTGGTAGGTTGTTGTTGTTGTTGTTGTTGTCGCTGCTTGGCTGGGAACACTTACAGCTACTGCGCAGAATTTTTGCAGAGCTTCCAAAAGGTAGCATTTATCTTAATTTGCTTAATTTATCATTAACTCTAGTTAGCTTTCTTTTGCTATTTTTGCTTCTTTTTATTTATTACTTATATTTTAAATTTTATAGCTTTAGTTCATTGATTCTTCATTTCATTAGCCACCTTCCCTTCTTCTGAATTTGCTCTACACACACAAACCATTAAGTTCATTGACAGATACACAAAAATTCCCTTTCTCTGGCAATACTAAAATTTGAATAAGAAATTAATAATAATAGCATGAGAGTTGTAAGACCTTGGAGAGGTTAATGTGGAGATCATATGTTGATTGCCTTTACTGGACATCCCAGGTAAAATTGCTTTCTTGCTTCCATAAGACTGTTGCAAGCATGGTTGCCTTTCGATCCATATAAACATATACTAGTTGTTTTGCCTTCCAAAGTTTATAGTATCGTAATTATGTAGCTCAAGTGTTCCTTATTTTTCCCCCTATTATATTTTGCCAACGGAAATAATGTTGGAGAAGCTTTAACACTACTGTATAAATGGCTCAAAACCTGATTAGGCAAATACTATGGTTGCATAATTTTCCTCACCTTGTTTCATTATGGGCTAATCACGTCACTGGGTTTGGAAGTTTTTTTTCCTCTAAAATTTTGTGTGATTTAATATATATACCTATTTTATATATTTTTTTTATGCAAAGAAGCTTTATTGATGCAAATAAAAAATATACAAGGTACAAAGATCAACATCAAAAAGCACAATAAGAGAGTGCAAAAAACATTACAGAAACTACCTATTTTGTTTGTTTAATACCTATCTTTTTTTTTCTTTTTTTTTTTTGTTTCTTCCCTTACGTTGTGTTTGGTGGGGGGATTTTAGGAGAGATTTGAAAAGGAAAAGAAAAAAGTTAGGTGAGATATGAATAAAATATACCTACATTTCACCTAGTTCCACACACTTTTTCCCTTTCCATTTTTAAATTCCTCCTCAAATCCCCCAGCCAAACACAACATTAGTAGTATTATTTTTTTTTTGACTTTCGTTTTTTGGTGATGAGCACAAAGAAATTTTTTTATTTCCATTAAGATGCAGATAAGATTACATAAAGTCAATACTAAGGGGTTGTTTGGGATTATCTAAATAAGTATATTTTTTGACTTTTTATGATATATGGATTGGGTTTGGGTTGGGTTTGAAGTGATGTGTTAGAAAGGTGATGTGACTTAATAAGATGATGTGACTTAAATAAAATAGTGACTTTTTGATTTTTTGTCTTTTTTCAGGTATGTCAAACTTAACCTTAAGACAGTTTTTTTTTTTTGACTTTCGTTTTTTGGTGATGAGCACAAAGAAATTTTTTTATTTCGATTAAGATGCAGATAGGATTTCATAAAGCCAATACTAAGACAGTTTCTGTAGCTACAACAACTGTTCTCTTTTTTCTTTTTCTTTTTTTTTTCACCCAAAAAAGGAACAGTTGCTGTAGCTACATAGTATTTAGACAATTTTCTTAGTTGGCTTTCAAACTGATTCATAGTTCTCCTTTCCTCTCCTACTCATATTGACTGTACAGTTTAAAAATAATCCTTGGGTTATCTTATGCTGGCTGATTGCATTGTGGTTATGTGATGAATCATTGTTTTCTTTGATCTAGTTCTGGTGCTTCTTGTTACTCAATTCATGAATGAGACACAATTGAATCAAAATTGGTAATGTGGACGGAAATAATGGAAGGTTGAAGTGAAGCTAGAAAACAAAAAACAAAAGGAGGAAAACTGCATATTTTTAATGGGAAGCGGAAAAACAAATTATGCAAACAAAGATTACTGTAAATTGCATTGAAAACTTGAAAAAAACTTGGAATGACATTGGGGGAGTTTGGGGAAATTTATGAGAAATATACTTCTCATTTTCTTGTTAGAGTCAGGGATGATACAAAATCTTTGTACACAAAAGCTGTTTGTTAATTAACTAACTAGGCCTAGCTCAGGTGATCATCCTGATTTTTCTAAGTGCTTAAGGAGAGGTCATGAGTTTAACTCTCCATAGGGAGAGTTAAATCAAGGGGGCAAGCACTTAGTGCTTTGCAAATGGTGAAGATGTTAATTTCTATAGATGCTAATATAACAATTAACAACTAAATTTCGCCGATAAAAAGGAAAAAAAAAAAAATTTTGCTTGTTAATTCATTAAAAAGTTTCCACTTAAGTTTATCATTTTTACAATTCTTATTAGATATATGAAAGTTTTTAGAATGTTGTCTAATTAATTTTGTAATATTTGTCTCCATCACTTTTCACTAGTTGTTTCGTATGCCATAATTTTCTTTTGTCTAGTTTTTATGTGTCAGCCTATTTGTGATATGATATTATAAAATATAAGAGTTTTAGGGATTAAATTTTTGTCTTTAAAAGTGAAAATTTTGTTGTAAGAGACATTTATGGACTAATTTCTATCATCGTGATGATAGTTGCTAAAAGATTGTTCCAAAAAGTCAAAAACAAGTCTTTTAGAGTCAAAATTTTGAAAATGTACTAATAAATAGGCTTTAGGGACAAAATAATTTGATCTCAAAATTATTTATTTTTTGAAAGAAAAAATTTGGTCAAAAAAAATGTAATAATTCATTACTAATGTCCAATTTTCATTGATTAAAATATAATGATGACACCTTTTACAAAAAAAATATTTGGTTCCTAAAAAATAATTTTATCCCTAAATTTTAACATTTGAAACCTTAAGTTTTTTATATTGTGAGGATCTAGCTATCATGTAGTTTGTTTCCTCCCTCGTTGTTGTTGGTCTATTTATTATGTATTCTTTTATTATCTTCATTTGATATAATGAATTCTGCCTTTTTCTTTTTAAATAGAAAGTTATTGCTTCTTTTCACATTCGCTTCCCTTCTACTAGCTTTCATTTCCCTTCCAATAATATGGATCGAATATATTGCCCTCGTACTCATGGGTAAGGGTAACTTACCTTACCCTTTTAAATAATATTGGCTGTTAACCATCATTCAACATTGAATTCTCTGTCAAACTTGGCATTTTTGCATCAATGCATAGTGGCTTAGAAACCAAAACAACAAAATTTTATGGGACTTCTTAAACTTGGGTTTTCATATTACTGTTGAGTAAGAGAATGGTGCTTTGAAAGCAGTGTTTACCGTGTGAAGGAAAATTCTTTAAAAAATAAATAAATCAAAGAACTCATGTATAAGTGATAAGAGTATAAGTTCAAGTGACACCTTGAAGTCTCAAGATGAAGAACTGCAGCCAAGGCCACAGCTGCAACAACAGATGCAGCTCCCTCGACACAGGTGTATGCCAGTGTATGGCATAAGGAATGAGTTAGAGAGAAGTGGTTTATGTAGTGAGAGAAATGTCGGAGTTGATTAGATACAGTTAGTTAGATATAATTAGTTAAGAGTTTGTTATAACAAACTCTCATCCACTTGTATGAACACTGTAATTGAGATATTATTGAATAAAGAAAAATAGATCAAATCAGTTTCTTTTCAATAAGTTCCAAAGGGGGGGGGGGGGGGGGGGGGGGGAAAATGAAGGAAATCAGTTATTTCTGTGTACATCACTACACTAAAATTCTGATCGGTAAATATGCAATTGTTGCATGTTTGCCACAGTTTCTAGGTCAAAATGTTGAATAAATTAAAAGGTGCTTTGGTTTGTGATTGAAAACTCTTCAAACACCTAAAATAAAAGGGAAACTACCATTCAGTCCAGGGTTGGAGAAATATTTACCGAAAGGTGAGAATCTTTTTAGAGTGCAACTATTGCCATGTTTTATTATACAAAAAATAGTTGCACCCCCATGTTTTTGTAAATATTTTTAGTCAAATAGGCTGATTTGTAGTTTCCCCCAAACAAAATAGCTAAGTTTAGATGTGTTTAATTAATGAATTTGAGACTTGGCCATTAACTCTTCTTGCATGTGTAGATTGTAAAATGACTCTTCCTATACAGGATTACATATTTTCTATGCTCATTTTTTTCCCTTGGTCCAAAAGTGTTGTTTATTTAGGATTTTTTTCTTCAGTACCAAGTGAACAAATATATATGATGCAGCTTTCTTATGTGGTTCAATTTTAAGTTTGATGATAATAGGAGAAGAATGTCAAAAAGAAAATATGCTAAATTAGGACAAAAATATTTATATACACTGGTTTTTAGGTTCTGGTTTCTTTCCATCTATTAGAATGGTTCTTGAAAGTCTAGGTTCTATAAGATGGTGCTGTTGTAGTAATGATCATGGTTAGTAATGACACTAGGAATATCAGGTTTGCCTACAAAAAGATCAAGATGAGTTTTGCTCATTAAGTTTGTGGTAATAAGTTTCCACATCTATGCCCTAATTCCTAGGTTAATTCCTAGCTGAAACTATACTGTTAGTGCAATGCTGTGATTGTATGTGACTGGCTCTTGATGTCAATTTATTTATGAGGTATTTATTACAGCTTGGAAACCAGAGTTAAATTGATATATGATCCAACCACAAATTTAGTTACTTTTTTTTTTTTTTGATCAGCAAAGAAAAATTTCATTAACAACATGAAATTAAAGGTACAGGAAGATGACATGCATCAAGAGAGATTCGGAAAGTATAAAATACCCCTACTACTGCTACTCGCACCCATACAACCAACCCCTTGGCCTCACTTAATTTTTTTTTAAACAAAAAAAAAGTTAAGAAGGACTTAACTAAAAAATAAAATACATGAATCCCCACAAAATTAGCCCACAAAACCCAAAGATAGC